TAAGAGAAAGTCAGAAGAGCAATTTGTTTGTCACATATACTCACATGGTGGGAGTAGAGGATACCATCTACTGTGTAGGAAGGTTGTAATGGGTAGCAGAGTGAACAACCAGGTCTTGTAGTATCAAAAACGTGGGGTCTGATGTGCAGCTCAAATGTAGGAAAAATTTAGTTTCAGGTAATACCTAATAAGCTTAGTAATCAATATATGTAAAAAGCTATTGTTTAAGGAACTGAAGGTATGACTCACCCTGACTCCAGACCATAAGCAGTTCCACCTTAGTGCCTCAGGAGGTTTCAAGCAATCAAGATGGTATCTGAACCATTGTGCTCCAGAGCAAGATGCCCACCCCCCAGGACACAGATGAAAGAAAGCTGCAGCTTTTCTCTGATTCACTTTTCTCCGGAATTCCAATTCCTTTACCCGCTTTTCTTCTTCTTATACAAAGGGTCAGTTGAAAACAGAATTTAAGACGGTCTATTAAGGGTGTATACCCAGTCTTCTCAGATCACTGACCATCTGAATAAAGCACCCATAAAGATTCAATCCCTGTCTGTGCTTATTGGTTCTGGTAGGTGACAGGGAGCACGAATACTGGCTTTTCCATTTTGAGAGTAACTCCTACTTCCCACTGGGGGATGTGGTTCACTTGTCTGAATTATCCCCCAGGCTGGCAGGGAACTAAAGCAGGGACTGTGCCTGGTCCCCAAGATAATGAATGTTGTTTAGCCATGAAATCCTATTTCTAGGATCAGAGTCGGGAAGTGAAGTTGTGATTAGGCCATTGAGGTGCACTTGCTTTGCCTGAAACGGCAAGAAACACATAATTTGGGCCCTAGTTTTAGGCCTTATTCTATACGAAAAAACCACGGTGTTGACAGTAAAGTTAAAAAAAAGATTACAGATATTAAGAATAGTGCTGGAAAAGTAAAATACTATAGCAGACACAAAATAGCCGTTTGAAGAGCTTAGTGGTGAAAAGAAGAAAGACAGGTGATGGCAGGAAGAAAAAAAGCCTCCCTGCAGTTTGTTACAGGAACGATAACAGCACGTCTTTCTTTACCTACTAACTCTGTCAGGAGGTATGTGACATGCTTTCTCTGAGTTATATTTAAATTATCTTCAAAACTATGAAGTGCTCAGTATTGTCATGAGAAAATAGACACTCAAAGATGGGTTGCAAGTAGGTATTAGGGGAAACAAACTCTGAAACAGATATTTGCATTCAATAATTTTATTGGGGAGCACCGCCTACAAAGGACTGGATGGAGAAAGATGCTGAACTGCAATTAGTTTCAACAAAGACCTCAAATGATCTCAGAGGAAGCTCTGGAACTGGGATAGTCTTTCAGACATTCCCAAATTGAGGTAAGGGTGAAACTTCTGCATCAGTCATTGCACTGTTGTCCATGTCCCTGGATCAAGTATATAGTTCTTTGGCTAATCCTTTCACCTTCTTACTTTCAGTCCCCCTGACATTCCTCCCCTCTGACAGCTGTTAGTCTGTCCCGTATGTCCATGCCTCTGTTTCTATTTTGTTCATCAGTGCATTTTGTTCATTAGATTCCACATAAAAGTGAGATCAACAGCGTGGTGATGGTCTGAGAGAAGGAGGAGGGGAGAATGGGTAGAGGTGGGTAAATGGGGGAAAGGTGACGACAATTGTAATAGCATAAACAATAATAAAAAATAAAGAAAAAAACCATTGCAGACAGGCTGTCCCCAGAGAGAAAATGTAACCTAGCATGAAGCAGCTGCATTCAGAGAGAGCAATTCTCAGAGACAGACTTGAAGCTGCCAGCCACCAACACTGTCATCTACTTGGGAGGTTGGAGCTGCATCCCTGACAGGGAGAATCTGAATGCTGCTCCACAGAATCCACTTTGAGGGATTACACAGTTTGTTCAAGGTCACATAGTACTTTTTGGTGCCATACTCAAATCCAGGTCTATCTGATTCCAAATCCACATACTTTACCTTAATATTCTGCACATAACTTTATGATAATGCAACAGTGAGACAGAACTGTTCTGGAAATGCATTTGCTGTGTGAATCTGCACTAGAAGCCCTATGGAAATACATTCTGAGTAGCATACACTTGGAATCACAGGCACACTTCATTTTATTGTGCTTTGCTATATGGTGCTTTGCAGATATTGCCTTTTTTAGTTGTTTGTTTTTAAGAAGTCAAAGATCTGTGGCAACCCTGCATGGAACAAGTCTGTTACCACCATTTTTCAACAGGATCAAATGATGGTTAGTGTTCTTTAGCAATATGTTCTTTACTTTTTAATTAAAGTATGTACATTTTTTTAGATATGATGTTATTGCACACTTAATAGACTGAAGTATAAATATACCTTTTATGTGCACTTGGAAACAAACAATTGTGAGTTGCTTTATTTCAATATTCACTTCATTGCAGGCGTCTGGAACGGAACCCACGAGATCTCCAAGATATGCCTTTATGTCATGTCTCTGGCCACAGCAGAACTTCCAGTGTAACCACATTCATATTCTTAGCCAAAAGTGTTTATTGGAATACACAGTGATGACATAAAACGATACCTCAGTGAAGTAAACGTAGCAGTTGGTGTCACTCTGAATGAAGAAAGAAAACTCAGATGTGCCCTAGAGACCTTTGGACAATAGATGGAGTGAATAGGCCATGAATGTGTGATGAGGTCTGTCCATATCTAGCTGGTAAGATTAATATTCAGTCTACCATTCATAGCAATAAGAAAAGAAGATATCGAGTGTGCTGATCAGTAACATAATGGATATGCAGGGGTGGGTGTGCATGTGTGTCTGCCAGTCTGAGAACAACAGTGTTATAACTAGCATTATAGTTGTATTTGAATAACACACCTAGGCTTATCATGTGGAGTTGCTCAATCTGCTCTAAAGAAACAATTCAACTCTGCTATTCCTTGTCTTGACTTAGCATCAACCTAAGGTAGGCAGAAGAAAGTACTAACCCACCTCCAGTTATCCTCATGTAAAAATTAGAAAGTTTTTCCATCTCATAAATTCAAATGCCAACTTGAAAAGCATAAAAACAACCTCACCAACTAGAGTTTCAGGAAATTTGAACCTCTCCTGTGGCTTTGGTGCTTCACTCACACTCCACTTTTGCCAATCATATAATAAAGGGATGGGGAAAAAATCTGACTTTTCAAGATCAGGGAAACAAATCAAGGGATTAGATCTACAACTTTCTCATTTCCAAGAATTAAGCTTCCACTGCTAGGCTGGATCTGTCCTGGGTACTCTACTCTGTCAATATTCAAGACATTATTGTAATGCACTGTATATAACTTCTTTTACTATCACGATCATATTTTGTTCATTTATCATGGTTTTTTGTTAGAGTCACAGTTTAGTAGACATTAGTCTCTTGATTCTAGTTGTTGAGTTCATTCATTCCTAGTGTTATGTGTTGATAAACTCTGTCTTCCAAAACTTCAGAACTGAAGGCCGGATGCTGACCCTTGGTGAATTTTCCAAGGCAAATGCTCTCTTGGAAAGTGTCTTGTCAGCTAAATACCTGGTGTAGTAGAAAAGACTCCAAGCTTCTAGTTACTAAGACATTAAATTACAGGTCTTGGTTAAATGGGACTATGTGGTGATAATACGTTGGATGAGACTTCCTTAAACCAGTCTGGGAAACAAACAAGTCTCAGTAAAAGCCCAGAAGGTACAGTTCTAATCCGTCTAAAACCATTAATCTGATTATCAGCTACCTCAGTTTAAATTCATTGAAATTATGACTTGACCTAAGGTTCATTACTCACCCATTAGTGGGTTTGTTTTTTTTGTAACAAGATGGTGATAAATCTGTAATGAAATTTACTTCCATGGTAGGCAGTCTTCAATATTACTGACACCTCCATTAAACACCCAGAAACCTCACCTGATTCTTTTGTTCATTTTTTGGATTTTTTCAATTAGTTTACATTCAACATTATTCTACATTAGTTTTAGATGTACAGCATATTATTTTATAGGGTGGCCCCCCTGATATTTCAAGTGGCCCCGTACATTCATATTGTTATGACAAAAATATTGACTATATTCCCTATGCTATAATGTATATCTCTGTGACTATTATGTAACTATCAATTGTACTTCTTAATCCCTTCACTTTTCACCCAGTCCCCCAAACTCTCTCCCGTGTCAATCCTCAGTTTACCTCACCAGAGTCTTGAATTCTAAGTGGGATTTTCACACCTCGCCCTACATTTTATATGCTTTATCTACACCCCTAACACAAAAAGAAAAAAAAAGGAAAATGAATACTTGTCATTCATGTAATTATTTAACCTCAAATTACATTGTCTTTTCCGGTGGTATTTTTTTTGTGCTCCCACTTTATCAAACAAGGCTCCACTCCCCATGAGGCAGAAGCAAATTGATCACACTCTCCGAGAATTAAGATCTTACAGAAGTATCCTTAAGACTTATCCTTAAACTGCTGAAGGCTTGAGTTGGAGTGCTATGTGAAATCTTGACATAGCCAATGAGAGATTTGGGGCTAGGCACTGCACATTTGTCTGTACTGCTGCTTGATCTTGGTTAAGTGGTGGGTCTGGAATGGCTGCTGTGATATTCCTAAAATATCACAACACCAAATGCTGGCTTCAAGGACGCTAAACTCTGAGGTATGACTGCCTCTGCTAGCCAAGGGTACATCTTATCTTCTTGAGAGTATTATACTTCATTTTAGAACAAATCCAGCAAAGCAGTCTATTGTTTCTTAGCTGAGGTTGGAATGTCTATGTAAGATCCGGGGCGGGGGGTGTTGTTTTGGAAGAGTCAGATGCAAGATCTGTTGTGTCACTTTGGTAAGAGTTGGAACCTACCTTTCCTATCCCACTTGGGGAAGTGGGGGAAGGTAGAGGGGAGGTGGTTTCAAAAAAAAGAAAAGAAAAAGGGTTTGGCCCCTGAGAGGATGAGAGCCAAGGCTTTGCAAGAAGTGAAGGGCTCATGGAGGTCGGGGTCAGCGCTGGTACAGCTGCATGATGCCAGCCTGGTGCAAGTCTTTCCACAGAGTGGCCTCGAGATGCAGATCGTGGTTTGCATAAAATTTCAGTGGCTTCTTTTTTTTGTCAAAATAGTGGTTAGAAAATTCCTGGTAATTTTCAGTGATAAATCCATAGGCGCTAACCTCGTCACAGGTGTGCAAAGCTGTCAGCAGGACGAGGGCCCCAGTACTGGGCATGTATATGTCTTTACCACCTTTGTGAATAAGGCTCGAATTCAAAAACCTCTCTGTCAGGTAGTGGATGAAGTTTGGATGTAGTAGCTTGAATTTACCCGCGGGGGCACCTGGTCCAAAATAGGCCTGAGGCAGGTCGCCTTTGTCCGGACCCTCGGGGACGGGCACACCCAAAAGGGCCGATCGCAGCATCACGTAGTCCCGGACGCTGGCGGGGATGAAGAGGTAGCGCACGCCGGGTCCTTTGGGCACGGAGAGGAAGCCCTGGCCCCTGTAGTTGTTGAGGGAGTTCTTCATCGTGTTCACCGTGAAGCCGTAGAAGGAGGTCTTGGTGCCCACGTCCTCCGCGAAGCCTCTGATCACAGCACCGTTGAGTCTGAAGACGTAGTCGTGGGCGTCGATGTGGCGGCCCTGGCCGGAGCCGTTCAAGATGCCCCCGTTGGCGACCACGGCGCAGCGCACGCAGCGCGGCCGCGGCTCCTGGGGCGCAGCCCACAGCTCCGCGCTCTCCGAGCCGTTCAGAAGGCGCAGGGTGGAGGCGACGTCTTGCTGAGAGAGGCCGCGCCAGCCGTAGGGGCCTCGGAGCTGGTTCAGGTCGGCCCAGAGCTCCGGGGTGAGGAGGCCGCCCCACAGCAGCACCGGGGTGGACAGGCAGAAGAGCCGCTGCAAGCGCGGACTACGCTGCAGGGCCGCGGCCAGGGGGCGCGTGCAGGCCCCGCGCCGCTCGGGCTGCGGCTGGGGCTGCGGCTCGGGCTGCGGCTCGGGCTGCGGCTCGGAGCTCCGACTTCCCCAGGCTCCCGAGAACCGGCACAGGAGGTACCCCGCGCCGGCGGCCGCGAGCAGCGGCCAGAGCCAGGGGAAGCGCCTGCGGCCCATCCTGCGGCGCCACCCTCGGCCGCCCCGCCAGCCGGCCCAGACCTCCCCCCGGGCCCAGACCTCCGCCCCCGGCCCCGCCGCGCATCCCTCCGTCACAATCCGGTTTTTACTTACTTCAGTCCGCTAAATCAGTACAGCGGGGAAAATACTGCCATTTGACAGCAGAGAAAACAGACCCTCGGAGGTGTTAATGTTTGTCCCTGTTGTGTCAGGAGTTGGTTAGTTCTTGCGTTGCCCCATCTCTCTCTCTGGGATCCATTTAGTTTTCCTTCTCCAAACTCAAGCACTCACGGTGCAGAATAGCCCATTAACTGGGAAAGTGATGCACACGATTATTCTGTAATAATAATAAAATAATAATAATAATTCTTTGAGCCTTACCTAGATGTTAAAATCTATGCAAGGACATTTGCAAATTTTGCCTTTTTTATTTTAATGGGCCGACTTTGCTATTCTCCATTGTTGTTTACAAAGGGCAGATTTTCAAAAAGACGGAAGTGTTGGAACTCCTTTGTATTTCTGATTAAATCTATCCCACATAAAAAGGCAATTGATTTGTATCTTATTTAGAAAAAAAAATATATATATATGGGAAGAGGTAACGTGCAGCAGTCTCCTACTTTGATAAATTATCTGGATTAACAATTCAAAAATATTTTTCATATCTTATCTGCCGCAAGTAATATTTTAAATCATTTCTATGAGTCTTATAGAAAGTTAAACATGAGGAATAATTTTAATTTACTTTTTCTGTTGCTGAGTATATTGTTCACCTCAACTTTTGAAAACAAAGAACAGTAGATGAATATCTCCATCTAGAGCCTGTTTAGGAAAAATGTAATTGCTAAAAAGAAGTCACTCTGTATTCTGATGGTGCACTGCACTGCAACAACTCATCAGTGTGTCAGGAGAAAACACCAAGGATGTGACTAACCTGTTTGGAATGGACACTGTGTGACCAGGTTTATGTGCCCCAGGATGCTGGTTTAGTTTCTATTCATGTGTCCTGAGATTGCTGGGTGCAAAGTAATTCAGTTTTATAGCTCAAATGAACCAAATGGAGCTCTAATGTCTCTCTGTGCCTGCCATCCCTGCATAGGCAGAACATGAAGAATTTGGAGTTTGTGTGGTAAATTCCATCATAAAAATAAGCAAGGGCGAGTGGGAAAGAGAAGAAGTGGCACTTAATCCAGATTTGGCAGCTCAAGGAGAGTCTCCTGAATATACTGATGTAGGAATTAAAACATAAAAGGGTATTTTTCTTTTGAATGATAATTTTATTTCACTTATCTTTGTATGCATTTTTTAATTTTAGTTATAAACATTCACACACAGCCTCATTCCATCTCTTCCTGCATCTTAATCTATCAGTGCTTCATTTCCTATCTCCTTATTATAATTTCTACTTTTTTCCTATGTCTATCAGCACTTTTTCCTTGACTTATGACTCATTCTGTTTTTCTTTTACTTAATTTCACTTGTCAGTCTTTTTTGACATTGTTCACTACCACTGAGTCCCAGAAACTTTCTCTTCCCATTGTCCCCATGGCACAAAACTGTGACAGGTGCTGTTAATGTTGTATCCGTAGTTCTTAAGCACTCAACATTCCCATGCATGATAGCCCAGACTGTCTACCACCAACACCAGATACTCTTTTGCCTGATGATTCTCTGATCACTGGAACCTACTCTATGCACACGTGATGGGACAGTGGTGTCAGGGAATGAATGGCCACTGAGAACATGCCTAACAATGACTAGCAACAACTGTTGTACAGATACTTCAGCTCCTTCACCCCGGAGGCAAGACAGTTTTACAACACACACCTATACTGGGTCTCAGAGGTCTACAGTGAAGTTAAGCTTCAGTTGCTCACAACTGTAACTTGCTCCACAAACTTCACTGGTTTTCTTCTCTTCCCTGTCTCACCTCTTCACTCATCTGCTTCCCAGGATCATTCCAGATAAATTCCCTGCACTCAAAACTTGTCTTGGGGTTTTAACAAAGACAAAATTTTGGAATTCAAATAGAGACAAAATTTTAATTCCCTAATTACTTCTTTGAATTTTTCTTTTCAGTAGTTTTTCCTGTCTCTCAGACTGTTTAGATATTGCAGATTCTCAAGGTTCTGCTCTCTGGTATAGCTCACCCACATTCCTGTTTTCATTTACCATCTGTAGGTTGACTCTCAAATCAATTTCTCTAGCCTAGTGTAACTTTCAAGGACCTAACTTCACTACGATATTTGTCTCATACAAAATTGTTAACTCTTTGAAGACTTGTCTATCACTTTTTATTTTATTTTCAAACTTTAATATAGTATCTGACATGCCATATATATTGAATAAATGATATTTGAATTGATTAGAAAAGGAAAGTATGGAAAAATGTCAATTTACTTCATACAGGCCAGTAGTAGAATCTTTCTGTGCCTGTATAGTAACAAAAAAAATCTGCCTGGTCAATTCATACAAAATTATTAAAATCTGTAAAGAAGAAAAAAATTCTACCTTTTTGGAGCATGATAGCTTAAACAGTCAGCTAACTAACCAAACTTTTTATGTTCTAACAGAATCTATTGACAGATTCAATAGTTTGTGTATTAAGGGCTGAAAATTGGTATTTAATATCTGTAGGTTTTATTCTCCTTTCAGTTAATCAGAAAAGACTACTTCAGTTAAAGTAGCAAAAACTACTTTGCTCAACTGAGCCCAATTGGTCTAGTTTTCAGAAGATCTGTTAACCACTAGGAATTAAGTTTCTGACGTTGAAAATAAATGGGAGCACCATCAAATCCTCTTCTTTCCATTTAGAAAATGGAAAGCTGCCAGATAGAGTGCCCAGATTCACTGCTATAATAACCTATTTGCTTAATGCCAATGAAGTATTTCACAAATTAGAACTAAGAATGTGTTCAAGAAAGTAGGCACATTTTTGCTATGAATCCTTAAAAGACTCATCCTATAGAATAGCAGAATGTCTATGCTAATTGTAATTTAAACTGACTGCCTATTGCAGAGGTGAAGAAGCTGAGATCCAGAGATGTGAAGCAGCTTTTTCTAAACCACAGCAGAAGTGCTGGGCTGAGGCCGAAACATCACCCTCATGGTTTATATCCAGACTTTCCTCCATCCCATTTGTATATTGCTTCACAACTGCAGTGTCACAGACATATTTAATGATTTTGCAACTGCTTGAACTTATGGAAACAAAATTTGTTAGAATCATTTAAAAAATAATGAGGCCTGGAAGAGGATCTGATGTTTATAAAGCACAACCCTTTTTCCTAATAAATATGTCCACTGTATAATATCTAAAAAGTAGGTTCGGTGACTCAGTTTCGAGTCTAACATAAAAAGTTGGAGATGATCCCTTCTGTTTTTACAGGAAAACAACACTGAGCAAACTGGAAATCCACAACGCTTCTCAAATCTATCGGAGCACTAAAGTGAAGGGCACACCATTGACCTGAAAAGTGGAGAGACAGTCGAATACAGGTAATCACAGCTTACCAGGAGCAGAAGCTGCTTCTGGAGCCTGTTAGGAACACTTAAACGATGATTAAATAATTGCTAAAGATGAAGCATTGACTAGCTTGAGAGATAAAAACTCCTGGGCCCAACCATAAATTTTACCTCCAAGAACTCCGCTGAATTCTGGTTAAAAAGATTACAGAAAAATTCATTCCAGTTACTGGCAGAAGTGGGAAAGTAACAATTTTTAAATAAGCTCAGAATAATTTGTTCTTCTCAACAGTTTTCCATCATCAAAGGAAAATACTTTACCAGAGCCTAACCAGCTAGGGTTTTCTAGAGCCTAACTGACGAGGAAGAAGGGAATAGATATGCTAAGAGAAGAAAGAAAAGGGTACCATATCAAATTCTCACTTAAAACCAAAAGTAAAAAAGAATGAATAACATAAAGAAACAATGAACAAGGATAATAAATAGAAAACTATTACAAACGTGGCAGATATTAGTCCAACTATATCAATAACCATTTTTATTTGTATAATTTTATTTATTTTTAACTCCATTTTTTAAATTCATTTAATTTAATTTTATTTTTGTATTGTTTATGCTATTATAGTTGTCTCAATATTCCCCCCTTTGCTCCCCTCCCCAAGTCCTCCCTTCCCTCAGTAAATTCCCACACCATGGTTTATGGCCATGGGTCATGCATATATGTTCTTTATCTAATCCCTTCATCTTTTTTCAACCAGTCCCAACCTCACCCTTCCGCTCTTATAGCTATCAGTCTGTTTCTTGTTTTTGTGCCTCTGATTCTACTTTGTTTTTTAGTGTTTTTTGTTAGATTTCAGTTATAAGTGAGATTATATGGTATTCGTCTTTCATTGCCTAGCTTATTTCACTTAGCATAATAGTCTCCAATTCCATCCATGCTATTATAAATGGTAAGAATTCCTTCTATTTTACTGCTATATAGTATTCCATTGTGTAAATGTACCACAGCTTTTTTACCCATTCTCTGCTGATGGGCACTTAGGCCATTTCCAAATCTTAGGGTTGTAAATAACACTGCTATGAACACATGCAGGGGTGCATATATTCTTTTGAATTGGTATTTCCAGGTTCTTCATATATTCCAAGAACTGGAATTGTTGGGTCAAAAGCCAGTTCCATTTTTAGTTTTTTGAGGAAATTCCATACTATTTTCCACAGTGGCTGCACCAGTCTGCATTCCCACCAACAGTGCACTAAGATTCCCTTTTCTCCACATCCTTGCCAGCACTTGTTTCTTGATTTATTAATGATTTCCACTTTGTCAGGTGTAAGGTGGTATCTCACTGTGGTTTTAATTTGTCTCTCTCTAATTGCTAATGATGTTGAACATTTTTTCACATGTTGATGGGCCATCTGTATGTTCTCCTTGGAGGAGTGTCTGTTCAGGTCCTTTGACCATTTTTAAAATTGGATCGTTTGTCTTTCTAGTGTTGAATCAAATGGGTTCTTTATATATTTTGGAGATTAAACCCTTG